TTTTTTTTTTTTTTTTTTTTTTTTTTTTTTTGTAAACACTTTAGACAGACCCACAATGCCTTTCAAAGGTGTAAAAGAAAATGCCCTTTCCCTCCTGGGAGGAGGGCTGAGGGGAAAGATAGCAGTTGATTCTTCTCTCAAACTCGCTCTCATCCAATTTGGTATCCTCAGGGAGAAAGGGAGAACCATTCTCTGGAAGTCAGTGCAGAAGGGGTGCCCTGTTCCCACTGGTGTCCCCAGCTCAGCTCTGCCCGTGTCCGATGCCTCCTCTCAGGAACGGGGGCTGGCTGTCCCTGTGTGGACCGGAACACGTAAGTCGCGCTCTGGCAGCCGAGGCCGGCCGCGTGCATCCCGCTGAGGCTGGCCGGGCGTCTGTGGTTCCACTCTGGGGCCCGAAGCCAAACGTCCCGCCGGGGTTTGGACTCCCGCTCCGGCGCTGGCCCAGTCCCTCTGCCTCACTCTCACCCTTGCTTTTTCTTCTCCCCGTGTCCTCAGTTTTTGAGGGGAAGGTAAAAAGAGCAAATGTCCCTGATTTGTCTGACATCATCAGCTGTTCTGGGAGCTTACTTGGAATAAATAAAATAAACCTAATGAAAGAACAAAGGAAAACAAAAGAAACAAACAAAAACAAGAAAGACAGCGAGAGAGAGAAAAGAAAGGAGGCCCCAAAACCTTTCGATGTGAGATGAGGTGGAGTCAGGGTTTTGGTTTTCTCTAGGGGTTTTGTTTGTTTGCCAGAAAAAAGAAAGTGCCGCCTCAGAACTCACAAGGGACAGGGAGGATGGGGACAGGAGAGGGTGGTCAGCAGAGAAGCAAGGTGCCCTGGGGAAGAGATGGGGAGTCAGAGCACACAGTTAGATAGGGACCACGTGTGCACATCTGGTGGGGAAGGCTGTGCCGGCCTGCTGCAGAGATTGATCGGAAGTGGTGTGTGCGTAAGTATGGGTGAGCGTGTGAGTGTGTGTGGGAGGCAGGTGGCCTAAAGGCAGGAAGAACCAGCAGTGACATGATCACGGATGAGCACCGCAGAGGACAGCGTACCATCCTACAGGCTGTCTAGTTTAATAAGTGGGATGTCCATATGGAGACAGGGAGTGAGGTTATCCCCCTGCCCCGAAGAAGCAGAGACCCCGAGAAGCAGGACTTGCCCTCACCACTCCTCCAGCACAAGGCAGAGCAGGACACAAACCCAGCGTCTGGTCCTAGAGCTCGCCGCTGCTTCTCCCACCCGGCACGTTCCACGGGATCTTTCTGAGCCTTCTTCAGGGAGACTTGCTTTAGATGTCCAGAATACATGGGTCTTTTCCCAGCGAATCTAATTCTACTGAGCAGCTTCTCCTTCATCAGGTTAGGAGTTTGTATTTGCTAGTCTTCCTGGAGAATCATACCTGCCCCCTCACAGAACCGTTAACTGATAAGATGCTCCCTTCTTGGTGGGGTGTGTTAAGGGCACCTGAGCTCCCTACCCTCCAGGCCCCAGAGCGACTTGACCCCAGGCCCGGAGTCCAGAGCACCCCCAGCCACGGGCTCACCTTTGAGAGGAGTCCGCAAGCAAGCCCAGCAGGGTCAGTCCGCGGGATGTTCTGGACAAGATCTGTTCACTTCAAACCATGAATCTATGCAACTGAGGCAGGGAGGTGGCAAGGGGAGATACGTTACCATTGACCAGGCTGTTCCTTAGGGCGTATTCTCCAGGGGTTAGGCTTCTGAGCAGGGGTTTGCTAAATCTCACTCATGAGGACCTCAGGGGAAAACAAGTATGTCCCCAGACACCCACTTTTTGAAGCAAGAAGGGAGAACACCAAGACTGATGCCAGCTCAGCCTGAGGCATCGGCCCAGCAGGGTGGGTATAGGATTGGGTGGATCTGGGAGCTGCAGGAAACAGGGAGTGTGGCCCTGAGAGGGACCAAGGCCTCACCCGAGTGGAGCCTGGATGGGGTCGGGGTGGTGGTGGGGTAACAGCTATCAGGGAGAGGGTGAGAGTGGGACAGCCGTGCTGGCCAGTGAGCCCACCATCCCTCGGGCTTAAAGCACAAGAAGATGGGAACCAAGACCCAGTAGGCTGGCTGTTGCTCCAGCTCTAGGGTCTGGAGAGCCCCCTCCTCGGTCAAAGGGGCAGCCTTGAGGCTTTGTCCCTGGTGGGACATCTCAGGAGACATCCTCCCTCCCCACCCCTGCCAAGCTCTACATGGCTTGGTCAGTTGTGGTCAGCGGATGGCCAGAACCCTTCCTGGAGGAGAAGGGAAGGGGAGGACCAGCGCTCTGGCTCAGTCACGTTGCTGGGGACGGTCAGACAGGGCCAGACAGGAGGCTGACAGTGAAACCCTGGTCTCTAGTGTTTAGAGAAAGGACCATCTGAACCAGACAGGAAACATTGCCCCAAGAAAGCTTTCTGATTTGTAAGCCAACATCTGGGTATTTTCAAACACAGGAACCAGGTAGATAATTTGCATAATTCTCCCCTAGAGCCCAGCATTTCCATCTTCTGGTTCTGAGCTGTGCCTCCCGGGGGGCTGGAGCAATCTGTGCCAGACCCAGGCCAAGACCCCCTCCCCCGGCGCCAACCTGGAGCCTCTCATGCACCAGCCACATCTGTGTGCCAGACACCACCACCGCCTCGTGGCCAGTAGCCCCGTGAGGCGGGCTGTGAAAAAGCCCGTGTGTCAGAAGAAGTTCTGGGACTCAGGGAGCCAAGAGCAGATGGCACAGAGTGTCCTCCCGTCTTAGGAAAAGAGGTATCTTCTTTCTAGCTGGAAGCAAGAACGTGGCTCGTACCGGAGCCTGAGAATGACTCTGAGCCCTGCTAATTCTAGCAGCTTTTCGTGCCGTGGCTGCCCAAGTTGTGGCTATTCCTGCCTCTGGCCCTCAGGGGAGAAGGGACAGAGGCTGCACGCACTAGCCCTCTGTGCGGCCTCTCTGGCACAGACAACAGTTCTCGTGCTGTGGAGCGGCCCGTGGAGGAAGAAGAGGCTCAGGGAGACATGCAAAAGCAACCTCTTTCCGGGTGGGATCTTAAGTGCCTCTCGCCTGTGGGGCTCCGCAGGTCTCTCTGTCAGCCCTCACCATCCAGGCTATCACACCAGAGACCTGCTCTGCCCCTACTTAGAGCCCTTGGCAAAGAGGTTGTCCCACCACCCGAGGGGACTGAATGGCTAGTGGTGCGGGTGCCCCCCCTCCCCCAGCAGCAGGGAAGGGGCCCTCTGGGATTGCAGATGGAGCTGAGCCGGCCCTGGGGGCCCTTCCATACCTTTTGTGATAAATGCACAGGCAGGGCAGCCTGGCTATCGTGTCCCCCTGAAGCAGCTCCTCCAGGCAGATCACACACTCACCCGCGTCTTTCGTCAGCACGTCATCTGCAAAGGGGGGGGGACAGAGGAGAGCGGAAGATGGTCAGTCACTAGCAGACAGGTGGCACAAAGCGGGCACAGGTCTGGGAACTGGTTGGGACCCTTGGGCCACCTGAAGTGGGCAAGGCTGTGTGGATGACACAGGAGCCCAAGGGTTCACTGACCCGAAAGCCCTCCCTGCAGAGACAAGACATGCATACTGCACATCAGTGATCTCAAGACCAAGTGGGACCAGTCACCAAGAAAGTGGCCAGGGGACGAAGGGTGAAAAGGGCTCGGGCGGGGACAGGTATGTCGCAGAGGCCAGCTGCCTCCCTGAGGAGACCTTCCCCCAAACATACACATGGACCAGGTGCCTGGAGTTCTGGTTTGGCAAAGCACGTCGATGGAGTGCAAGGCGAGAGAGAATGGAAGAGGCGGGAGCTCTAGTGACAGCTACGGCTGGGGCTTGGGCGAGCACGTCCGCAGCAGCAGGCTGGTGCCCCCAGCTCAGAACTGGATCAACAAATGGGATCCATCCATACAGCGGAGTGTCACTCGGCCATGGGAAAGAGGCAGACACGGATGCGGGCTGCAGTGTGGATGGACGTGGAGAACATCACGCGAAGGGAAGGAAGCCAGACACAAAAAGTCCCCTATTCAGCAACTCCTTTCTATGAAATGTGCAGCACAGGCCAATCCGGACAAGACGTAGGCCCAGGGCGGGGGCAGGAGGGTGGGGGGTGACTGCTCTATGGGGCAGGGGTGTTCTTCCCCTCTTTTGGTGGTGGTCTTAAGAATGCTTACGATGAGATCTACCCTCTTGACAGATTTTTAAGAGTGCACGACAGTACTGCTAACTGCAGCCAGATCTCTAGAACTTACTCATCCGACATGACTGAAAACTCTACACCTGTTGAATAGCACCTATTTCCCCGTCCCCTTGGCCCTGGTGACCCACTATTCTACCCTCTGGCTCTGTGAGATGGACTCTAATTTCAGGTAAAAGTACAATCACGCAAGGGGTTTTCTTTGGAAAATCCTAACTAGACAGAGATGGTGGTGGTAGTAGCATTGGGAAGGTTCTAAATGGTACTATGACTTAATTTAAAAAAGAAGAAAAGGTCCCCCACAAAAAAAGGAACAGGAGGAAGCTACTGGACACCCCAGGCCCTTCGCATAGCCATGGTTGGAAAAGCCTGAGCACACAGAGGGAGGAGTGGCTGGGGCAGCAGCCCCTTATTAAATTTCTATGACATTCTGGGCACTGGCAACTCCGCGAAGAAGCCACGGCCTCAGGACTGAATCACAGTCTCACAGAGGAGGCAGACAAGAAAATGGAAATGAACAGCACACGAACTTCTAGGAAGCCTTACGATGCATAAAAGCCCAGGTAAGAAGGGATGACTGATGCCCCATCAGGGTGGGGACATTTCAGGCAAAGGGAACAGTATCTGTGCACTGGGAAGAGCGGGAAGTTTGCTAAGGCGTCTGCAGAGAGACATGGGGGCCACATGGGGTGAGACAGACACCCCCAGAACGAACTCGTGTTTTGCTGCGGTGCCTAGGCTTCAGGTGGTTCACCGGGAGCCTCTGGAGACGCATTCTGATCACCACTGGCCTCTGCTAATACTGGAGGATGGGCTCGCAGAGCTCAGAGATGGGGATCCCGCGGCAGCAGTGCAGGAGGGAAGGACTCAGGGCCTGTACTAGCCACGGGGGCAAGGAGGGAGGGATGGCATGTGCTGACCAGGGCAGCGGGGCAAGTGGCAGGTGCCTAGAAGAGGGGACCCAGGAAGAGAAGGTCAGGCATGAGAAGTGAGTTCAGAGCTGGGTGCGAGGTGCTGACCAGGTGTCTCCATTGGGACACGCTAATGGAAACCTCCAGGAGTCCACTGCAGTCTAGAGCTGGGGTTTAGAAGAGAGACGTGGGTGACGAGTGTAGATGTGGGATAGAGATTCAGCTGAAATCCAAGAAGGCAGAAGACAGAACACAAGGTTAACTCTAACATCTGAAAGGCAGGTGCAAGGGTGAGGGAAGCCAAGGTTACTCAGAAGTTCCCCAAACCACAGGAGAAATGCCAAGGAGGGGGGTGATGGATGTGGAGAAAGGCAAGCTGGAAACAGGATCAGTTCCTACTACTTGTTCTCGAGCACTGCCGATGACACACACCGAGATGGTGTGTGTTCAACTGAGCCGCAGTTTCACAAGCGAGGCAGGACATATGTGTCATCCCTGTCTTGCCAAGGAGGAAATGGAAGCCAGAGAAGTCAAACATCTTGCCTCTGCAGGGCCTGAAACCCTTCACTTGGTGCCCCCCACTGATTGCTCTGGTGGGAAGGGAAACATCTGGGGCCCAGAAAATGAGGATTCTTCAAGGCCTAGAGAGCTAAAGTGCCTTGAAGCTCCCTACCAGGAACCCTGATGAAAAAGCCCAAGTTAGGAACAGTTCAGTACTGACATCCCTGGGCATATGAGCTGTGGGAAAAGTCACTCTCAGCTGCCCAGCCACGACGACCTGGGATTGTCCCCTGCCAACATCAGGCTAACCCATAGCCCACCTGAACAGAAAAAGCAGGTGGCGCATCTTCGGTCTGCCAGTGGTCACCTCAGACTCCCAGTGTGGCAAGCAGTGGATCAGCAAAAGGGCATGATCCCATGTCCTATGGCACCAGATGCCCTCCTTACTGAGTAAGCCCAGAAAACATCTGGAGGAGCTATACTTCAATGTTGAAGGCAAGGAAGACTAAAAGCAGAATATTTTTATGTGTTTTTGAATTTACACGCACATGCATTACCTGTAGAATTAAAAACCCCAAGAAGGAAGCGTACTGGTGTTCTCATGTGGCTCTGAAACGTGTCCACGGGGAAGATGGGTTTGGTGGACGGAGCCAAGTAACTGAGCGCCTGCAGGGAAATGCAGACTCTGGATGGTGGGGATCTGGGCGTTCACAGTAAAACCCTCAAACTGTGCTCTATGTTTGACACTTTCAAAATAAAACATTGCAGGAAAAATCCCCAATAAGGATGGAAGGAAAACCGGTCTGGCTTTGAGAAGGCAGAGCTGTCTTGTAGACGTTCCTGGGCGCTGACTTCTGCTCTCCCTGCCTCAGGAGTCTCATTGGTACAGGGAGTGTGGGCCCTGGGTCCCGGTCACGCCTCCCTCTCCACTAATGGCTGAGTTCCTTTCCTTGCGGGACAGTAAGGTTACAGATCCAAGTTATCATCCCTTCCATTTCCCCCCACTGACTGGCACCCCAGCTGTGAGGCCAAGGGGTTAGGTTGGAATTCCCTGGGTTCCAAACAGCTCCTTGCCCGGCCAGGTGTGCTATCCACCTGCATGGGCTTCTGGCCAGGGTAGAGGTGACGGAGCTAGGGGGTGGGAGCCGGGAATGGAGATAAGACTTCAGATTCGCTTCTTCAACAGGACTGGACTTGACCCTCCTCTCTCTTCATACTGGCTGTCACTGAGGGAAGGGCCAGGCGTGCGTAGGAGACAGGAGGCACAAAGGCGGTTCCTTTTTCTTACCAAGGACTCAGGCTTGAGCACATGAAGGTCAGATGCATTTTCGTCCTAACAGTCAACTACCAACACATGACACTTCGCAAAGCACGGTCACAAACAGCACCGCTGTGCCTCACCAGCCAGCCTGGGGCTGTAGCGTGGGTGGGAATGAACTGGAGGCTGGCCCACCCAGCTGGCACGCGGCGGGGAGCCCATCTCACCGTGGCCTGGAGTGGCAAGGATAGGGAGGAGTTGGGGGCTGGGAACCTGACAGTGTGGGGAGGCCAGCGGTGTCCACACCCAGTGTTGTGCCCAGGGAGTGGCATTCTTCCTGGAGCGGAAAACAGGAGGTACACAGATCCGGCCACAGGCCTGAGTGGGCTGAGTAAAACTTCCTGTCCCAGTCCCTGGAGCTCTGGAGCCGGCAGCCCCCAGATGTCCCTGGGAGCTCAGCAGGGGGGTGGAAGTGGCTGAAACTGACGCCTGGCTATCAACAGGTTCCTATGTGATTTCCACATCCTTTCTGCAGGAGGCTGCTGCCCACTGTTGGGAACCTCCAGGCCCAAAGCCGAGGACCCTGGGCCTGGCACAGATTGAGGCCACCTGATAGACAGACGCACGTGTCCCTTGGTATCCCTAGGTAAGACTGGTTGTTAAGAACCCAGAAATGAAGCTCTGCCTTTGCTTTTGTTTTACTGGCTCTTAACCACTGCCCCCACCCACCCCTGCCCTGCCCAAGCTTCCTGATGCCCTGTGCAAAGCCCATGTCACTGCCCAAGGGGGGTCTTCGAAGTGTTTGGTCTGGCTGGGGGTGGTGCTCAATGATGCCAATGCCTGTCCCTCCAACTACACCAGGGAGCCAAACCAGAGGCAAAGCTCTCCGGTGCCACAGCAGGGGGAGAGGGGATGCCTGGGCAGCGGCTGGGGTAGGGCAGGGTGGGAAGTGACTGCTTAGTTCTGCTCTCTCCCTGAGATACAGGGGGAGCACTCTTGAGAGCTGCTGTTTATCAAAGAAAGATCTAGGACAAGGAGAGAAAGGAGGCTTCACTTCTTTGGGGTCATCTGTATGGCAGGACTTCACAGAAACAGCTCAGTGAATGCTAAAGACCCTTTGCACAGGTGGGGAGGGGGTGTCTCTGAATCAGCCCATGTAGCTGGTAAGTGGCCATGGCTTCCAAGACAAGTTCCTTCTACTTGGTGACCTTACCTCCTCTCCTGGTCTCCAAGAGACCAGGCAACAGGGTCTCTTCCCTTGAGGCTGGAAAGCACCAGCCATCTCAGTTTCAGCTGTTTCTCTCCTTGTGGATTTGTGCATGCGGGGCCCAAGAAGGGGGGAGAAGCCTAGGTGCAGGGAGCAGCACTGCCACCCGCCCCCCCGCCCCCCCCCAGAGCCACTGTGAGGCTGCGCTGCCCTGTGGAGAGCCCCGGCCCCCACACTCCCCAGGGGACGTCCAGAGCTGCTGGCGTCATGGGTCGGGGGACGGGGAGGCTGAAGCTGGTACAGCTCAGAGTCAGCCGCTGAGGGCAGGACCATACATAATGCGTTTCCCCTGGTGCTGGGAAGGAAGGTAGGAGCCAGAAGGAGAACCCCTGTAGCCTCCCCAGCAAATACAGAGCTGCCGGCCCCGTCTCCTGCGGGTTAGGGAGGGGTGGTGCCATCAATGCCTGGTGTTGCCAGTTCCCTTCTTGGGAAAACTCCAGGAAAAGGGAAACCTAGAGCAGAGAGATCCCCTACCAGTGGTGGCATCCCCACCCAAACACCCCAGACTGTTCCAATAATGGAAGCCCAGCGAGAGTCAGCCAATAAAGCACAGGCCTGGAGGGCTTCCTCTTCAATGGGGCTCCCCACGGTGACCCCACTCCATCCCTTCTCTTGCAGCCACCTGATTCTTGTGTCCCCACTGTGGCAAGCCCCTGTGTGTCTCCAGCCCGCTGACTCCTCACTCACCCAGCAGCCCACTGGTCAGCAGTGCTGGAGCTCCCTCCGGCCCTCCCTCCTGGAGGAGGGGACACCTCCGAGTTTGGCACTGCCACAGGTCTAACAATAGCCCCTGGCAAGGCCCCACTAGGCTGGGCACACTCCTCGGCCAGCCAGGACCTGGTTCCTCCAGGCCTAAGAAAAGACACTTCCATCCCAACCATAGGGTCTCAGCAGGGACGCAGGCCAAGTAAGCACCATTTACACACGTCTGCTGGCTTGGGGAAAACTAGCAGGAGGTATTCCTGCTTTTAGGGGAGTCAGATTCTCGCTCCTTTAAAGAAACTTTGCATGACACACAGCATTTTCCGAGCCCTGAAGTTGGGGGCAATGACTTTTGGCAGAGAGGAGGAGAGAGGATAGTGAGGACCTAAAACGCAGGACATGGTTTGCACTTTAGAAGAGAGCTGAGCATCTCCTAAAGCTGCTTTACCAGGCACTAAGCTTCCCTTAGTGCTGCTGGCAAAGGAACCTGAAACACCCCAGAATCTACCAGAGCCACAGACCCCTGGCTGGTCTTGGAATCAGGGTCTCCTAAACTTTCCATGAACAGCTGGCGATCTATTGTGCCCGCCCCGTCACGGTATTCGGACTCTCTTCTGTTCACAACAAAATCAGGTCCCGAAGCCCATCTCAAGGCTCATTCTGTCAGCTGAGCAATGTGAAGGTCGAAACTGGGATGCATATTCTTGAAGGCGAGGTCTCAGCTCTCAGGACTACAAACAGATGTTGGAACAGGAGAGAAATCAGAGGCCCATTAAAGCTCACCACATTTACCCACAGAAGTGGGACGGAGTAACTCCCGCCTCATCTCCTAGGGGTACTGAGTTCACAGCGGCCCCTGGGTGAGGAGGAGGAGGGATGGCAAGCTCATTGCTCCGGGGTCTTGCATGCTCTCTGCACCCTCTCTGTTGCGCAGGCAACTCAAAAGCCTTCCGAGCCAGGTGCTTGCCCTGGGAGCAGCCGTTCCTGCTCTTCACACTTCTCTTGGGCCCTGGGTGGACCAGTTAAACTAGTCTTGCCTTTCCTAAGCTGTTGTGTTTTTTTTTGTTTTTTGTTTTTTTTTTTAAATCTGGCAGGCCGCTACTGGAGGCTTTCCAGCCCACAGCTCAGGCCAACCCTCATAATAAGAAAAATACTACTTTCTATCTGCCTCATTTAGGAGGTTTCTACTTTTTTTCCTTTGGTGGTTAACTAAATTTCATCTTATATAACCACTGTAAATTTTCTAGAAATTTCCCCCAATTAGTGCCAGCAATTACAGAAAGTGTGTGTATGTGTGTGTCAATGAGAAATCTCCAGGGGAGTGACCAGGAGTTCTGGTGAATCTTCATAAGAAAATGGCACTTGGTGGGGCGCCTGGGTGGCTTAGTGGGTTAAAGCCTCTGCCTTCAGCTCAGGTCATGATCCCAGGGTCCTGGGATCGAGCCCCGAATCGGGCTCTCTGCTCAGGGGGAGCCTGCTTCCCCCCCACCCCCGTCTGCCTCTCTGCCTACTTGTGATCTGTCAAATAAATAAATAAAATCTACAAAAAAAAAAAAAAAAAGAAGAAAGAAAATGGCACTTTGTTCTCTATCCACTAAGAAAGGCTCATCTTGCCCACTTTCCAGAAGATTCCAGGAGATCCACGCTTTATAGATCCTTTAAGTCTTCTCACACTTCTTTTTGACAGAAAAGATAAAGTAGAAGGTAGGGAGGATGGGGTGATGAGAAATCATGGGCAAAGTATGTTATTGGCAAAACCAGAATAAACACCCAAAGGCCCAGACTTGGTTGGCCCATGGCCCCTGAAAGGCCTGTCCTACATGTGAAGTAGAACAGGCCCTAGACGAGCTCTGGAGACTTCCACTCCATACACACACTCCAGGTGGCAAACACCTTCTCTTATCTGGAAGGTTCAAATGTCTTCAGCAAACATAGAGACTGGCTCCCAGGAGCCCGGCCATTAATGCGTAGGTGTCCAGGGAGAGGCTGGCCATCATTTCTGAAGCATCTTCATGGCCTTAAGTCAAATTCCACTGATAGGACCAGATGCAACACACTGCTCCTTGCCTCTGCTGGGAAGGAATGGCTTTTGCAGAAGAGAACCTTGAATTTAAAGCCTCTAGTTCTCACACACACACACACACACACACACACACACACACACACTCTCTCTCTCTCTCTCTCACACACACACACACACACACACACACACACACACACACATCCTGAAGATGTAGCTTTCAATTACAGGAGGAGGGGAAAATGGGACCAGGATGGAAACAGCAGCACTTCTGTCTTGGGCTGGTTGGCCAACTTCCTCTTCCTCTAAGGGGACTGTGAGTGTGACTTCTGCGGGTGGCATGTGCTCAGACTGGGCTGCCAAGCAGTGAAGGGGACAGGCAGAGGGAGCCCTGCCCTGTGGCTGTGGGCACAGAGAGCTCTGGGCAGCACCAGGCACTTATAAGGCCCTCATTCCCAGCTCAGTGAATAGGGTGTGTGGGTACCTGTCACACAGGTGGCCCCAAGAGCGCTCTGTCCTCCACAGCTGCCCTTGCAAAGTTCTCCCTGATGACGTCAAGAACCCAGTCCTGTCGGACGGAGCCCACTCTGAGGCTGCTTTGTATTCTTATGACAGCAAGGCAGTGTCTACAGAGAACTCTCCCCAGCCATCCACAGGACAAAAAGCGGTCTTCATGAGGGCTCTGCACATGTGGAGAATGAGTGAACACAGTTTCTGAGGCCACGGCTGGGGAGGGCTGTGGGCAACGGGAGAAGACTCGACACCCTCCATGGTCCCAGGCAGAGACAAGGAGCGGAACCAAGTAGAGCTGGAGCATCCTTTAAGGAACGTGCACTGACGAGTCTGACAGGAAGCCCAGAGCTCACATGACAATGTTTCAGAGAATGGCAGCAGTCAGTGTCCGGGGACAGGGAGAAGGTGTCCTCAGGGTAGAACAGGGGCTTCCTGGATACCAGGAAATAGAGGGGATGGCAACGCTGGGGGTGGGGGCAGGGGCCACAACTTGCCTTGCAGCCTCTGACCCGACCAAGTACGACCGACTGAGGGTAGCTGGGACAAGAAGGTAACTAGCCTGCCCACATGCATGCAGAAATTTCAGCTAAGCAAGTAAGTAAGAGAGAAGAGAATAGTAGGGTGTGCTTTTAGGAGCAGGAGTAGATCAGATTTGTCAGATGCACTTTGTAGGAGCAATCTGGAATCATCAGGCCTCCCTAGACTAACGTGTGGAGGCAGGAGTGCATCTGGGTCTGAGGAGGCAGGAGGCCAAGGACAGCTCTGGAAGGAGAGTCTACCCGGGACACTTTCATTGTCAGGATGGGGCTCAAGTGATCCCAGGCTCACCTCCCATCCAGTCCACAGACTGAGAACTCGCAGAACCCTTCCCGAGTGCTGCTCTGACTTCAACCCCAGGGAGCAGCCCAGTGACAGGGCTGGGACACAACCCCTTCCGATCCAGCGCCTGCTCTGGTAGAAGACGGATTTCTCCGGTGAATGTGGTCTGAAGACCAGATTAAGCACGTAACAGTGGAAGACCAGAGAGCTGCTGGCAGCCCACAGCACCCAGCACTAAAGAGAGGTCAGTCCACTCTGGAAAATGACAAGAGGAAACTCACAGAGGGGTTCACATCTTTGAGGGTGACTGTCTCAATCAATGGCCGCTGTAACTTCCTGACCACTGACCATGTGCCAGGCTCTGTACTGAAGGGTTTGAGGTATAAATATCTTACTTCATTTGGACAGAAAACCCAAGAGTCAGGTTACTGACAGTCCCATTTCATGGACAGAAAACCAAGGCTCTGCCATGCTGAGCAGCTTGTGTAAGCCTGTACAGTCTGTAAGTGATGGAGGCAGACTTTGAATTCAGATTGGCTGGGTCCCAGATCTTGACCCACAGCATACTAGGCCCATGCTGATACTTCCTTCGTCCACAGAGGTAGTGTGTTTCACGGGACGGCCTGGCCCGGTGATTCTACCCCTGCTGCACTCACTGCTCAGCTCTGAGGCAGCCTCCAAGGTGGGAAGCAGTGTGGGCTTGGCGGACTGACTAGGTGGCAGGTCAGTACTTTTATTCCCTGAAGGGTGTCCGCTCGCTGAAGCTATTGTGCTATGCACACCAGCGGCACTGAAGCCTCCTCCCCCGAGGAGGGGGCGTTCTCCCCAGACCCCCAATGGCAGGTGCATAAATGGGCAAAGGCCTAACTGAGCAAACTGAGAGCCTGTCCAGGGCCGCAGGCCTGACCCCTGGGCCTTCCTTCTTGTTCTGCTCTGCTTCCTTCCCAGCTGCTGCACCAAGATCCCTTGAACAGTCAGTTCCTCAACACCACACAGGCGCTCCCGCCGGAGAATGGGGTGGCCACGCTGCCCAGAGCCACACCAACTGAAGACCCTCCCTTGGAGGGTCCCCCCACCAAATCCTTACCGTTGTAGGAGAGGCGAGGTTTGCTCAGACACATTATAAAGTGCATTTCCATCTCATCAGAAGCCACAGACTTGGAACAAATGGGGCACTTGAAACCTGCAAGAGAAGAGAACAGTATGAAACACTTCCTCCAAGCCAAGCACATCCACAACCAACACAGAGGCCCCAAGACAGCTATGGCCAGGGGGTTCAGGGCCAACGTGGAGGATTACAATCTAGATAGACCCTAGACCCGATCCCTCATTCGCTCATTCTGTTATTTTCTCACAACCTCCCAACTCCCACTGTCCCGCCAGTACTGTCCCTGCCAGGCCCCTCGGCAAATCTTATCCGAAGGCCCCGGGCTGGTTTGAGTTTTATTTTCCTTTAGACCCTTTCCCAAGGGGCTCTAGTGGGCAGCAGGGGTAAGCGGGGATGCAATCAAGGCAAACAAATCAAGAGTCTTGGGGTAACAAAGCGTTTAATAGCCCTCCTCCTCACAGCCCTCAAACCACTGGGCTGGGCACCTGTGGGAGGAAGCATGACAGCAGTCAGGTCAGCACGTGCATCCTTCACCTGCCCGCCCCCGCCCCCCGAACCAGGTAGCACTTCCGTCCCACCAGACCTCCCCGTGGCTCAGGCAGCTGTCCTCTGAGTGTGTGGAGCAGCAGGGTGACCCTCTGGAGCACTCCCAGATGCCACGCGCGCCTTGGCCGTGTGCCACTAAGGGTAACAGCTGTTGCACAAGACCCGGCGAACACAGGGTGGTGTGACCCCACCGTCCCACCACCACGGGAGTCTGGATTGCTCATACATCCGAGCAGTTCAGTCAGAACTGTACCAGTATTGGAGATTTCCGCCGAGAATCTTCTGAGCTGAACTCGAGTAAACGAACACAGTCCCTTGACTTATTTTTTTTACAAACAACTTTTTAAAGATAAACAAATTCCAATTTCCCCCATTTCATTTTTATTAAAATTATTTTCAAACGATCAATTCTGCTCCATTCTACCAAAAGGATCTAATATCACTGGAAAGTTATTACTCATTTGTCCACATCAAATTTCATACATTGAAAAAAAAAATTTCATACATTGCAGCTTCTCCCTTTTGTGACCATAATTCCTACCTGTCCCCAAGCCTGGATTTCCTAGGTTCAATATAGCACATCTAAATCTTGTTGTGAAAATCTGACTCTCCTGTTAACTTTCCAAAGCGTTCTATGCCCAGTTTCACTGGACGCTGGTAATATCTATCGGCAACACTTCCTATGAAACAGGTAAGAAGTGGAAGGCTCGTATTGACTGTTAGCTGCTCCTGGACAGAGGAGGAGGTCACACTTTTCTTCCCAGGGCCTTGCTCACTCTATATGGGAGCCCTGGACTTTGACAGCTGCAGATGTAGAGACAGGAAGCAAGCCAGCTCCTGTGTCCCCATGTAGGGCATAAGCACTTTGCTCAAAGTCTTTTCCAAAACTTCCTCTTTTCAGTGACAATGAACTATAGGACGAGACAGAAAATCCAGTGTCCAGTTAACTAAGGACAAAGTGGACCTCAGACTCCAGGGCACAATCCCTATTCCCCTGACCCCTTTCCTCAAAGATCGTGGGCATCCTGTGTCTCAGCTAAAAAGTCTTGCAAGCGCTACCAATCCAAGGATCCTGGCCAAGCTTTGAGCAAGGGCTATACTTTCTGATCTCTGGGTGGGTTATGAATCCATTAATAACAAAACCAGAAGACTGAAAAGAAACATGGTGGGCGGAGGGTCCATCCCCTGCTTTCTGGCAAAATCAGATCTCAGATGTGCCAGGCTGATTCTTTTCTAACCCAGGTCGGAAATCTACAGACCCAGGGTGACACATGTGGTGGACAGGAGAGTAAAGAACTTGAGTCTTGTACAATGAGGATGTCTTCACATCTACCCTAAGTCCCTCTGCAGCCTTGGTTCTGCCCTCATGCCTATAAACTAATATTAAGGAACATTCCACAGAATTACCAACCATTGGGAGATTGTCTCTATTTCCTCAGAGTTCTTCCACCTTTTTTTCAGGCTCAAAAGACCAAGGTTTTATGACACCTTAAATGACTACAGGACATTTCTAGTTTCAACTTGTTACACGTAAGCACCCTGTCTGCAGGCTGAGGGCTCAGAGCTGAGAGCACGTCAGGCTGGATGTGGCCTGGACCAGCTCCTCCAACACCAGGCTGCAACATAGTCGCTGGGAAGTGCTGACGTGAACTGTTACTACTGAGAGGAGGCCTTATGCCCCGCATTACTTACTTTTCTGATAACCTAGAACAGGTTCATGGTTATCACTATAATAGCATCAACCACCCCCGCGTCCCAACATGACTCCTTGAATGCAGGACAGGGAGTCGAGTTATAGCTAAGGTACTAGAAGTAGGCCACCCAACGAGAAGGTCTACAAGGCAACGTCATTGGACATTTATGTCCCAGAAAAACAAACCAAGGTGAGACTCCCAGGGTTAGGCCAGTGCCCTCACTGTAAAGAGAAAGAGGCCTTGAAGAAGACTCAGGCTCAAACACTTGAAGGGGTGGGGCTGAGGCCGGTCAGATTTCTTAGCAGGCCACTGAAAGTCCTTTCTATCTAGGAAGAACAAGCTGACTACATGTGATATTGTGACTTACAGTAAGAACTATGTATTTGGTCTTCATCCCCTTCCTGGCACAGAGTTCCTAACACCCTGGGAATTTCCTAACATAATAAGACCAGTAGTATTTGGTCTTTTGTCACTGGTTCCTGAATAGTTCCAGAGCTGTAATGTGAAAGGAACGTCTTGTTACTCATAACAAGTCCCTTTCAAAGGCACCAAAATTTAAGTTAATGAGGGGACTCTGGGAAACTTCCTTGGTAAACTAAAGATGGGGGCTAGTTGCAAGGGGAACCAACCAGCTGATTAGAGGAACTTTTGGTCGCCCCCTTCAACCCCTGGGGAGGGGAGGGGGCTAGAGATGGAGTCAGTCACCAATGGCCACTGATTCCATCAATTATGCTTGTGTAATGAAGCCTCCATAGACCCCCCCAGAGGATGGGGGTCAGACAGCTTCCAGGGCAATGAATACATGAAGATTCAGGGGGGCTGGCACCCCAGGACAGGATATGGGGGCTCCATGCCTTGTCCCTATGTCTTGTTCTCTGCATCTCTGCCATCTGGCTGTTCCTGAGTTATATCCTTTTATAATAAAATGGTCATCAAGTAAGTAAAATATTTCTCTGAGTCCTGTGAGTTGCTCTAGCAAATTAAACGCACTTGAGAAGGGGATCATGGGAACATCTCATTAAGTGCCAGTCAGGCAGAAGCAGAGGTGACAACCTGAACTTGTGACTGGTGTCTGAAGTGGGGGGCAGTCTCGGGGGATGGAGCCCTTAACCTGTGCGGTCTGTTATCTCTGGGGAGACAGGGTTGAAACTGGGTTAACTGCTCAGTGGTACCGGGAAAACACCTCAGAACAGGGTTTTAAGAAGAGATGGGTCAGGAAACATTACATCAGGAGAGGAAGCAGCGCCATGGTAGGAAGAGACCTACATTTTAGCAAAAGCAGGGTTAGTGAGACTTTCCTCTGGAATGGGGGGCAGGGTTAAGGATGAATAAAGAACTCACAGACTATTACGTGAGTGGGAAATGACAAGATGACTTGGGTTTTCCAGCTTCGAGATGTGGCTAAGTAATCTCCACTCCCCGGACCTCCGTGTTCTCATCGGAAAGAAAGAGGACTTGGCCTCTCTCTTGCAAGGATCGGATGAGGTAAGAAACCTGCGAGTACCCAAGGAAGCAGCTAATCAAATGTATCATCCGGCCCGGCAGCACGGAATGAGGAAGGAGGAAGAAGAGGGCTGGGGAAGGGTTTGGGGGGCCAGGAGACGGGGGTTGGGGGTGGCGGAGCAGCAGGGCACAGAGGCCATAGGTCACGCAGAGTGGGCCTGCAGAGCAGGTAGGGAGGAGTGGCCACCTCTGCTTGTCCCACTGGCTCCCTCTGCACTTCTGGAGCATCGCGCATGGCACTTTCCTAAACCCCATGTGGAACAAGGCTCCCTGCTCAGCCTGTGGCTCCCGCTCTTGCACCGGGTGACGACAGCAGCTCGAGTGCACTGAGTGGTCCCTGTGAGCAGCCGCTGGGCTGTGTGTGTCTCCTCACTTATGGGTTACGGAGGGGGTACTGCTGTGAGCTCGACCTCGCAGAGCCAGCACACAGTGCCCAGGAAGCCTCACCACCTGGCGTGTGCCCCGCTTGCCGAGCTGGGCGACCCGAGGGCTGATGTAAGGAGGATGGCGTTCTATGACAAAAGGAACATGAATGCCACACAGAGGCTGGGTATTACTAAATAATAACTTCAAATCCTCCACACTGTCCCAGCAGTTTCTTCTGAAGTACGTGGGCCTGGATAATCCCATACATGGAAGCAATCGGTCATTTTTTTCCTCCTGGGCATTGCTCACATGGAGAGACAGAGCTTTGCTCTTTACTTGGCGCTGAGCCTGTAACACTGGGGGGTTAAAAGGCCGAGTTTGCAAATCACCTTTGAAACGGAAAATAAAAGACAAGAGGTAAGGGGGAATAACTGATGTCCCCACCTTCTTTCCTGAAAGGTCATCCCATGATTCAGACGGGTGCTACCACTCTATTGCCCAACCTTTTCGTGTAAATGTCCAGTCACAATTTAGCATCAACAGCGCTATGGAATGATACATACTGCGATCCTTATGAGCTATCGGGAAGTTAAAGTATCTAGGAAATTTTGATACCATTTTGGAAAAAAGTTTGAGCCAAATTGAAATCAGCCCATGGACAAAGACAAAGGCTCACAGAGTCGCTCAACTGATGAGATTGAGTCAAATTTCAGGAGAGCCCTTCATCAGCACTCAAGAAGTGTGTGCACGGGATGCTTTCTTTTCCTTCATGAGAAAGCTACAGTAGAGCCTTTGGGACAGGCGCTCCCTGCCTGCCCCTGAGACCTGACTGCCCACTGGTACCCCAGGAGCTGGGAGGCAGGCAGCACGCGCACCCAGCCACTCTCCCTCTCCCGATCTTATTTTCTGTCAGAAGCAGCGCCCTGCACATGTTGGGTCTTTAATTTGAACAGAGAGTGAAGGGCC